AGCAGCCTGTGGGTTGTTTTATGGATACATAACCCTTGAGTCTCTCAGAATTCTCGTCAGGTTTCCTCAGAATTTCTCTTGTTCCCTGATGTATCTGTTTTCCCCAGGAAAAAAAAAGTATAAAGTCAGTTTGAACTTTATAAAACCAGGGACAGGGCTGATGGCATAGGAAGCTGAGGGGGTTCCCTCTTGCCCTTCCCCTAAATGGGAGAGTAGCCACACCTCCTCAAGAGGTTGGGCAAGGCCCCAGGTGGGCTTCCATGAAAGGCATCTACACTTGATGGCTTGGCTCCAAATGCAGTTTTAAAAATGACCCTGGGCCGGGCACAGTTGATCACTTGAGCCCAGGAGTTGAAGACCAGCCTGGCCAATATGACGAAACCTCGTCTCTGCTGGAGATACAAAAATTAGCTGGGCATGGTGGTGCATGCCTGTGGTTCTAGCTACTGTGGAGGCCAGGGTGGGAGAATCACTTGAGCCCAAGAGGTCGAGGCTGCATTGAGCTGTGATCATGCCACTGCACTCCAGCCTGGGTGACAGAGCAAGACTCTGTCTCAAAAAGTTAAAAAAAAAAAAAGGGGGCCGGGCGCGGTGGCTCAAGCCTGTAATCCCAGCACTTTGGGAGGCCGAGGCGGGTGGATCACGAGGTCAAGAGATCGAGACCATCCTGGTCAACATGGTGAAACCCCGTCTCTACTAAAAATACAAAAAAAATTAGCTGGGCGTGGTGGCGCGTGCCTGTAATCCCAGCTACTCGGGAGGCTGAGGCAGGAGAATTGCCTGAACCCAGGAGGCGGAGGTTGCGGTGAGCCGAGATCGCGCCATTGCACTCCAGCCTGGGTAACAAGAGTGAAACTCCGTCTCAAAAAAAAAAAAAAGGACCATGATAATTTGTGTTATCTTTTTTTAAATCTTTTAACCTTTTTTTAAATATATATAATTTGTGTTATCTATCTGATATTTTTTTTCTTTTGACCCTCACCCCTGCTACTTACAACTTTGCATTTCTCAGCCCCCCTGAGCTTGCTGTTCCTGCCCTGCCAAGGCTTGTCCCCGTCACTGGTGTTTTTAGGTGGTTTTCTTCTCCCGGCACACACCTGGCCACCCTCTTCCAGCATGTCCTGCTGTGGAGCCTTCTTTCTGCGTTGTTACAGTTTCCACCTCTTACTTCAGCAGGCCTTCGGGAGGAAGGAGAAGGAGGTGTGTCGCCTCTCTTGAATTTATTTAAAAAAAAAAAAAAAATACACTGAAATAGTCATGCTGTAATGTCATTATTTTGGGAAAGACACATATGGGAAACATATTTTCTTACCTGTTTTTTCCTATTGTGATGGGAAATAATCTAGAATAACTCAGCACATACCACCCCATCCTGAAGGTTTATTTCTTTTTTTTTTTTTTTTTTTTTTTGAGACGGAGTTTTGCTCTTGTTACCCAGGCTGGAGTGCAATGGCGCGATCTCGGCTCACTGCAACCTCCACCTCCTGGGTTCAGGGAATTCTCCTGCCTCAGTCTCCCGAGTAGCTGGGATTACAGGCACGTGCCACCATGCCCGGCTAATTTTTTGTATTTTTAGTAGAGACGGGGTTTCACCCTGTTGACGGGGTTGGTCTCTATCTCTCGACCTCGTGATCCACCCACCTCGGCCTCCCACCTGAAGGTTTATTTCAAAATCACTTGTTGGAATTCGGACAGCATGCTTCTGGTTCATCTTCATGGTTCCCAGGGTAGCCTGTGAGAGCAAGTTCGGGCCTGGAGCGTGCAGGAACAGTCTCCCCATCGCCATGTGCGCCTCTTTGAGTTCATCTTAATGCTCAGCCAGTCACTTCTCTTGGGTCTGAAATGCCCTGTGCAATTTTTTAAAAAGAGAATTGTCTTCCTAATTCTGTTTAACTTAAATTAATACAGATGTTCATATCTAACCTTGGAGAATGTCTAAGTTGGGAGGTGACAGATTTGTGGCAGGGAGCTGGCTGAGCAGTAAGATGAACTCTGAGTAGTGCACATGGTGATAGTTGAGCTGATGGCCACAGGGGATGCCCATGGGGTATGCTTGTCCCTCACTGGACCTGAAGACATTCTACAGGATGTCACTGTTGCTTAGTGCAGTGCTGTGATGAGATCTTGGTCCCAGACGGAAGGAAAGTGAACAAATGTGGGCCTTTCCCAGCTTTGCTGCCATGTGACCTGGGTATGTTCCTTCCCCGTGCTGGGCACTCCTTGTTCCTTTTGGTCAGCTAAGAGGATATGTCCTGTCTGATGCCCTTGGCAGACCCAGAATCTTGGTTATACTTCTCTCCTCAGTGCTTCAGGTTCTTACTCCTAAAGGCTGACCACTGTGCTGAGCCTCTGCTTGGCTCCTGGCACTTAGTGGGATTTTAAATCTTAGGCCCGGTGCGGTGGCTCATACCTGTAATCTCAGCACTTTGGGAGGCCAGGCAGGAGGATTGCTTGAGCTCAGGAGTTTGAGACCAGCCTGGGCAACAGTTAGACCTCAGTCGCCACAAAAAAGTATTTTTTTGATTAGCTGGGCCTGGTAGCATGTGCCTGTACGATAGCCTCAGCTAGTCAGGAGGCTGAGGCAAGAGGATAGCCTGAGCCCATGAGTTTGAGGCTGCAGTGAGCTGTGATCATGCCACTGCTCTCCAGCCTGGATGACAGACAAGATGCTTTGCCAGTCAACCAACCCACCAACCAGTCAGTCATTCAGTCTTATGCAGAACTGTCAAGACCACAGCTGTATCCAGACAGATTCTGAATTTCTCTGCTCAAGTGGCTCAGGTGTCAGCTGCCTCTCAGTCTGGAGCAGGGACCTGCTGTTCCGTGCAGCTGCTCCCATGGCTGGCCAGGCAGCCCAGCTGGCAGCTTGATTGAACCACTTTGAGACTCACCTGATCCCATAGCCCTGCTGTTCCCTGAGAAGCCTAGGGCAGAGACCAGCTGCTCTGGGAGAAAACTTCCTGCTGCTGAAACCTAGCCTGAGGTAACTCCAGGAGGGCCCTGGCTAGTAGCATAGGATTCCACAGAAAAAAAGGCTCACACCTATAATTCCATCCCTTTGGGAGGCCAAGGTGGGTGGATCACTTGAGGTCAGGAGTTCGAGACCAGCCTGGCCAACCAACATGCCGAAACCCCATCTCTACTAAAAACTATAAAAATTAGTTGGGCATGGTGGTGCACACCTATAATCCAAGCTACTGGGGAGGCTGAGGCACGAGAGTCACTTGAACCTTGGAAGCAGAGGTGGAGTGAGCTGAGATGGCGCTGCTGCACCCTAGCCTGAGCAACAGAGCCAGATTCCATCTCAAAAAAAAAAAAAAAAAATTCCGTGAGAGGTGGCATCAGGGCCCAGGCCAGGTGGCCTGTCCAGTCTCTGTGAATCCTAGTCAATGATTTTGAAGCAGAGCCTCAGGCAGCGTAGGAGAACCCCTTGCTGGTGCTGTCTTCATGAGAGCCTGGTTAGGAGCATGCCTGTTCCTGCACTGGTCTCATCACAGCGGCAGTGTCTTTGGAGGGCTTGACTTTGAAGCACGGTTATCTGTTCCCCACCTTGTTCTATTGCTGCATAATAGCGTGTTCACCTTTAGAAGCGCTGCAGTCCACCAGATTAAGCTCTTTTAATTATCGATTCAATTTTAGGTTTTAGGAAGCCTGATTTGCTTAACTTTGAGATTGCTTTTGGAAAACAGCTTGGTGTAATGGAGAGAATATTATCTCAGCAAGCAGGCAGAACTAGTGTCGAATGCTATTCTCCACCACCCATTACTTGGACAACTGTGGGCAAATTACTGAATATCCCTGAACGTCGATTTTTTTGACTTTAGAGACAGAAGTAATGATAGTAATAATAGTTACTATACAATAACTATAGTGGCAACGACGATTCATTATTGACTATGTTCATAGCACTTACTGAGGACCACGTATTGTTCCAAGCCCCTGTATGTATTTGACTCACAACGGTTCTGTGATGTAGGTTCCATTGTTGTCTGTCTTTTACAGATAAGCCCAGCGAGACACAGAGAGGATAGGTAACTTGCCCACTGTTGCCCAAATCATAAGTAACGGGTCTGGGATTCAAGCCCAGGCAACCTGACTCTGGAGTCTGTGTTTCTTCCTGCAATTCCAGGCTGTGTCACAGAGAATCATGAAGATTCGTGTGATAACGTGTGGAACAGGATCTGGAACAAAGTCTTGTACCTTATTGGTGCTCAAAACATGTTGGTCACTCCATGTCACCCCTCCTGTTGCCAAGCTAAGGCTTTGGACTGTTGACTGCGGCGGTGAGGAAGGTCTTGGGTCTCTGGCTGTGTGTTCTGAACACAGGGTAAGGTAAAGAAAGGTGGAGTCACCTTTTCACCAAAAGTCAGACGGTTTCATCTTGGCCATGGACAGGTCATTCCAGCAAGGTGTGCTTTGTGCTTATGGGAGTCCTTCAGTTTCTTCCCTCCAACAGGGGAAATAATTGCCCCCATTACCCTTACCTGGATTATAGATTGCTGAATCTGTTACTCAGAAGTGATTTAGCTTTCCAGCTGAGCCACATACAGACAGTGTCAGAACAAACTGGTCTGAATTCCGGGCTTCACTGACTGAGTCAGTAAAGATGGAGTTGAGTGGGGACAGTGCTCACGTGGAATGTGGTGGGCACTCTGGAGAGGGGAGTCGGATGTCACAGGTGGGATTACCTCCACTCACGTTTTATCCCAGGTCCTAGCCCTGCCACGTAGGCACAGTGGGCCAGGAGGGGTGAGCCCAGAGACCCAAGGACTCTGCCTGCTTTAATGCACGTGCACCCCCACCCACCACCACACACATACACATTTGCGCCCAGTGTTGTTTGGAGTCTATTTATTGACTTTCTTCCACCTAAAGGAAGTGTTATAGACTGCTCCATACTGAAGGCAGTGATTACAAAGGGGAAGTTGTAAAGTAGAGAGGACTTGTTTCTTTACCTTGGGAATGTGAAAACCACAATGAATTATGTTTTCTGTTTATAGGTTTGTCTACAGATTTTGAGCATCCGAAGTTGACCCCTGACTACGTCTACTTTGCTGCTCCCTCAGCCTTTGAAGAAATGTCTGTCGCGTATGATGATTCCATCGGAGTAGAAGTGTCCAGTGACAGCTTCTGGGAGGTACCGCACCTGCTTTCTTCCAGTGAATGGAGTGGCCAGGCCAATAATGCCTGGCAGGCCTTTTGTTTTTTTAGTGGAGGTTGGGAAATGAGGTGAACATACCCCAAAACCAGCCAGGCACTTGGAGTCAGACCTAGATAGCAGCAGAAAAGGTGTGGGTACCTGTTTTTAGCCAGTGCAGGTGTGCCTTAGCCGTCACTGAAGGCAGTGAACTCACCTCGCTAGGAAAGTCTGAGACTTGCACAGGCTAGGGATGTTCACGAAAGGTCTTGGCGATCACCTTCCTTTCCGTGTTTGCTGTGGTGTGACTGGGAGTGATAGACACTGACTGCTCGGCTTATCCTTTGAGGCACTTGACTGTTGAGTTTTACGTAGAATCACGGAGGGCTGTGATTTGACGTCATGCTGGACAGCACAGGCTAGTGGCCGCAGGGCAGACGCCTTCGCACTTGTCAGAGCATGGACCGCCAGTCTCTACCCTTGATTAGCTCTCTTCCTGATTCGATTATTTTTGCTTTTTGTGGTGGTGGAGGGCGGGAGTTGTTGTTCCTGAGTCCCATGTAATTGTCCTGCCTCCTGGTTAATGTAGAGTACATGTTTGTTTCTTTCTTTCTTTCTCTCTTTCTCTCTTTCCTTTCTTTCTTTCTTCTTTCTTGTTGAGGTCTTAGGCCGGGCGCGGTGGCTCACGCCTGTAATCCCAGCACTTTGGGAGGCCGAGGCGGGCGGATCACAAGGTCAAGAGATCGAGACCATCCCGGTCAACAAGGTGAAACCCCGTCTCTACTAAAAATACAAAAAACTAGCTGGGCATGGTGGCACGTGCCTGTAATCCCAGCTACTCAGGAGGCTGAGGCAGGAGAATTGCCTGAGCCCAGGAGGCGGAGGTTGCGGTGAGCCGAGATCGCGCCATTGCACTCCAGCCTGGGTAACAAGAGCAAAACTCCGTCTCAAAAAAAAAAAGAGTTGAGTCTCGCTCTGTTGCACAGGCTGTAGGTGCAGTGGAGCCATCATGGCTCACTAAGCCTTGATCTCCTGGCTAAAGCCATCCTCCCACCTCAGCCTACTGAGTAGCTGGGCCTATAGGAGTCAATTTTTGGTCAATTTTGGCCCTGTGGCAAAACCCCTGGAGCTCTTCTGGCAGTTGTAGCCTTCGTGGAAAGAGGCTTTGCAGTTAGAAAACTCTGAGCTCTGATCCCAGCTGTGCTGTTGCTGGCTGTGTGACCTTGGGCAAGTTGCCCAACTGATCTGAGCCCCGCAATCTTCATGTGTGAAGCGGGGGATACTGTTGGCCTCTGAGGGGGGCTGCCAGATAAGATAAGAACATGGATGGCAATGATACAGGAGGCTCTGCTGGTAGAAGAGATGAGGGTGATGCCCTGGTGTTGGACTAGGATGCAGTCATTTTACAAACAAATGATCACAGTGAGATGCATTGTGGTATAGACAAGCCCAGGTTTATAAAAAAGATGGGCAAGGAGCTCAAAATTCTGTCAACACATTTTCCCCTGTGTCTTGGACAAAAAGACCATCATTGACTTTTAGCCGAATACCTTTTGTTCAAAGTATGTTTACTGAGTACCTATAGTGTGCTAGGCAAGGGATAAGACAGACGGAGTCCCTGCCCTCCAGGAGCTGGCTTCTGCTACAGCAGAAGTAAATGTGGAAAAGCACAGAGCATGCAAGCCCTCTCTGCTGCCACCCCTTGGCTGGGGGCATCCTTCCGGAGGGGTGGGGGGTACCCAGCTCAGATTTCAGCCGCCGGCGAGGCACATCTGTGTGGGAGATATTTCACTTAAGACAGCAAGAGTGGCAGGAGCCGGGACAGTCACATAGGTCATGGCACGGCAGGAAGGTTGGCAGTGAGACTAGACGAAGCTGTCTTAGAACCAGCAGTTACAAGATGTGGTTTGGAGGCGCTCCTGGAACAGTGCTAGAATTCAGGACTGCCTCTGCCCCAACCTGCAGGTCCAGGTTCACAGTCATCAGGTCCTGCCGGCTGGCCCCCCGAGAGACTGTGGCCTCATCAGTATCGCAGGAGCACTCATGGAGCTGGTGGCAGCTGTGCAAAACCTTCCTGTGAGCTCCCGTGATGCTGGCCTTTAGAAATGCAGGCCCTTGTTCTCACCACTGAACCAAAACTAACTGTAGATGGAAACCTTTCCAGTTATGGGGAGCCTCTCTTTTGTAACTGTGGTGACATTGCTGGCTGGCATCAGTCAGTCCCTGCCTGGAGCTTGGTGATGGTGCAGACAGGACAAGCACACTCAAAAGGCCCTTCCTTGTGCGGGATGGGCTGGGGGAAGCAGCCGGGACAGGGGAAGACATTGCTTTGGAGCCAGAGGTCTGGTCACTTACTTCCTACGTGTGGCTTTGGGCAAGTTACTGATTTTCTTTGCCTTCATTTCCCCATCCATAAGATGGGGGTAATAATGGTACCCACATCCTAGTATTGTGAGGGTTAAAAGAATGAATACATGTGTTCGTTTTAGGGCATCAGGGCAAGGCTGGTGGGGGACCCTTCCCGCTGGCGTGGGAGCTGAGGGAGTCCGTGCACACACTTGACGTCTGTTTCTGTGGTGCCCTTGGCGGCATTGTCTTAATTACTCGCTTGGTGGCAGAAACTGCTGGGAAAATTGCATAGCTAAACGTAGTGTTATTATGGACATTTTCAGCTGCTTGTTAAAAAGCATTTAGGTGAACGTTGCTAGTGTATATTGACAGCATATAGTAAATCAGGTAGCTTTAACGAGTCGTAATTAAGCTCTTATGTTCCGTGTTAAATTCTCAATGGCAGTAATGTCAGTAGACAAACATATCTATCTCCTTTTGCCCAAAAGTGCTCAAGCGGGCTCTGCTGAGCTTGTGATGCTGTCCCTGAAATGACTCTCCAGCTGGTATCAGCTCTGCAGCGCTGCTGCCGCCCGCCTCCTCCGTGATGGATGTTTGTTGAGTTGTGGGCGACTGCTCAGCACGCCGGACTGCAGGGAAGATCTGAGAGACTCGGGTGCACACTGCCAGCTGCGGTCTTCCCAGGCAGACAGCAAGCTCCTCTTTCCCATGGAAGGACACTTTTCCAAAGAAAGCCTGTGGTCTTGAGGTGGAAAAATTTTCTGCGTTTAATTTTACTCTTTCCTGGGTACTTGGGAATATGTCATTCCCAAAGGGTAGTAATTGGAATATGTTATTCCGGAGCCATTTTCTGTGTGTCTGTGTCCTCCAGGGGCCTTTGGTGTGACATTTGGAGGAATAAGATAGACCTTAGCAGGTCATCATGCCAGGTGCTGTAGGATTTGCTGGGGTTCCCCTGGGGCAAGGGGCCGGAAAGGCAGCGTGGAAGCCTGGAACTTCCCTGTGCTCGGATGCTAGACGAATGAAGAAACTCATACTGATCTGCGGGAGGAGGGGTTACCTGCAGGGACCTAATGCTGAAGAGAGGTATTTAATGCATATTCAGAAGGAGAGCCTCCCACATTCCTGAACCTATAGATTTATGGGGGGGAAAAAAAGAGGAAGAGAGGAGAGGGGATCCAGTTCCCACAAAGAAGGTGCTTATGGAGTGTGAGAGCAGGCGGGACCACCCCCAGCTCTGCCTCTCAGTGACATGGTCTGCTGGGTGGAGTCAGCAGAGGAGGCCTGTGGTTGCGCCGGGTTGGGCCAAGAATTGGGAACAGGTAGAGGGATGGTGTTCCAGGCTGGAACCATGTCTGGAGCCTGACTGTGATCTTAAAGAGGGCTGAGGACCTTGACCTTTTTGGAGCTAAGGGCCAGTTTTGGAGCACGCCGGGAAGTCGTGTGGGATTCGAGTGGCAGGGGCCAAGTGGAGCCGGTTCCCCAAGTGGGTGCTCCCTCAGCCAGTCCAAGCCTGGCCTGGTCTGCCCACAGGCTTCATGGCAGGGCGTGGGGCAGCTTGGCTGCTTCTGGCAGGTTTTTCTGACTTGTTCCAGGAGCTGGGGATCCTCCTCCTGCCTCTGCCTCTGGGCACCGCTTCCAGCCTCCCCTGCGGTTCTGGGAGCTGGTGTACCAAAGGGCCTGGGCTGTGAGCCATGGGCTTTTCAAGTGTCACCAGTGCTGCCTGGATCTCCGAGGGCTCCTTGGGGGCCAGGCTGGGAGGGCAGACACTGCTTATATTAGGAACTGGAGCCTGAGTCTGCCCCAACACAAGCTCCCCGCAGGTGGGATTTCCGCTCAGCTGTCAGCTCTCTGTGCGTTAGAGCTCAGATCTCCTGGATGAACCCAGGCTGGGTCTGACCTCCCTGCACTATCTTGTGGGTACAAAGAGCCCCTGAGAAGAAGAGTATTTGGGGAGATGAAGATAACATAGGTATCTTGCGTCAGATATTCTGGGAACGCCTGAAGAGCTGGCGCGTGACTCTCAGCATTGACCGTTCCCTGCCAGGAGGGCGCCCCTTGTAGGTCGTTTGTAACCTTCTCTCAGTCGGGCTGGTTTCCCTCAGACTCTAGCACTGCAGGACAGCTCGTCACGTGAGAACGCCTCCGTGTACATCGTCCGTGTGGAATGGGACGCGCTTTCCCCACCCTTCCACACCAACTTGGTAGGACACATGTTTGGAAGCTGCCTTGGCCCAGGCAGGCCCTGGGCTAAGTCCTGGGCACCCCACATGAGAACACAGGCTCCAGCCAGCGTTGGGCGGAGAGCAGATTGGAGGCGGCAGGGCAGTGCACTGCGCGCAAGCGTGAAGCGAGGGAACGTCGGTGCACCTCACGCTCAGCAGCAGTGACCGGCTCTGCCTACTCTCCAGCCGCCTCCACGTGCGCCGACCCCAGCGACTTTTCCATGGGACGGCCTGTCTGTGACAGCCCTGTGGGAGCAGCCTGCCCACATCCACAGCCTCCTCGGAACAGGATGTGTGTCAGCTTAGTTATCACCGCACTGTGCTCAGACACGGCTGCTAGGTCAGTGGCCCACATTAGTTTCACTAAGGTTTCTAAAAATTACCATGAATTATTTCTTTCCACCAAACTAGTATCTGCTGAACCAT